AAACTTTAAAGTTTTATTGCTCAAAAATTTATTAATAATTTTAAAAAATTTTTATAATAAAGTTTGTAAAATATATTTTTATAAATATATTCTATGAAGAAAGCATATCTATATAATTAATAAATTATTGTTTTATTTAAAAAATACTAAATACAATTAAATTTTCCAAGCAAATTTGCCTGGAATACAGTTTAAGAGATAAAATAGTTGTTAGAAAAGCAGTTTTGAAGAAAAAATAATAAAAATAAGATTATCAAAAAATCTAAAAATAATATAAATTACTAGAAAATAAATATTATTCTATATCTAAATATTCTAGTTTTGATGAACTTGAATAGTTTATCTTTAATCAATTAGATTAAAGTTATGAGGCAATAATTAATTAATAAAAAATTATATTAGATTTTAGAAATATATGCTATGCACAATTAGAACAATTTTTATGCTGCTAGAATAAAGCCAAACAGGTAATTGATTAACCGGTTTACAAAAATCTTATTGGAATAGGCATTGAAATTTTGAAATTTAGAAAATGTCTAAGTATGGCAAGCATCTTAAAACACAGTTAAATCAATTTCATATTGTTTTAAAAAGGTTTGTTTGTTTTAAAACAAATATCAAGTTACTTGACCATATGTATAAAACAATTAAGTGTCGATGTTTTTTAAGAGGAAGATCTTACATAAGAAATAAGAGTTATAAATGAAGCTAAAATTAGCTAATCCAGTGATTTTAGCTGCAGCTATTTTGCATATAGCGATCTATGTTTAGAATAATCTCCATTAAAGGTTAAAAACAAGGTATATGCATATTTGTCCCACTCTTGTGTATAAATTTCTAGACACAAACTAAATCAATACATATGATATATGTAATCTAAATTATGTAAGTACATTCATCTTTATCCTTATATATTTTATTATGATTATTATTATGTATTATTATTTTTATTTTTTTATTTTTTATTCTTCTTTTATTTTATTTTTTATTTTTTATTTTATTTTATTTTTGATATAGATAACGATAAGTTTAAAGTTTCGCAAGTTTCGAGTTTTACTCGGTTTCACCAATTTCGGAAGGCTCGAAGTTTGATCTATTACAGCTGTTCTCATCAATTCTGGGACAATTGATAAAAATTGTTTCGGCCAAATTCGATATCGGCGTTAGTGTAATGCCGAAAATCCAAGGCCAATTCAAAACCTTATTGAATTCGGCAGTTGTCCCAAAATTTATGAGAATAGCTGTAATAAATTATTAAATGCGACAATTAAATATCCTTACTATTACAAATGTTTTCATAAATTTTGGGGCAACAGAAAAATTTTCTGATGACCGAATCGATAACGATAAGTTGCCAAGCCGAAATTAATAAATTAGAATTTATGTGATTCGTGTTACCGATGATCTTCCTAAAAGTCATATTGATTAATATCGATATCGATATCGAATAACGATGAATCAAATGGCTGGATGTTGCTAATGACTATTTTTTGGACAGAGGAGTATTGTATTCTTAACAGGGACTGAATACACTATTTATCCCAATCTACGTAACTTTTTTCATGTACTTATTTATATTATACAATATCTATTTAATTTAATCTTAAATGTCCAAAATAAAGTTTTCACTCTAAAATAAGTACATGAAAGTTATGTTATGGGGATAAATCAGTTAGTTAGATCCTGGGTAATTGGATATAACTATTACTTATTTAGAGATGCAATCCAGATATCCGCCAGTTTTACTGTTTCCAATTTATAACAAATTAATACATATAAATTTTAAACAATATTTCTAAATTTTAAATAAGGAAAGCGGATAACGAATCGCATCTCTATATTTATTTTGGACATCTAGGCTGCCAGTATGCTAGTTACATATAAAAACTAAAAACTTTCATTGTACCAACATATTTATATGTACAAAAAAAATTTTAATAAAACACAAAAGCCGCGAGATCGACATTTTTTTGTTGACATGATTAAATAACCACAATGATTCAATGAGAAGCTTTAATGAAACATTTCTATAAATAATCGTCAATTCATTATTCATTCAACAAGTTAGTTGTCAATGCATTGATTGATTAATAGAAATAATACAAATGGAATAGAATATCTAGTATAAATGTCGGCTAAATAATGTTATATTTTTATTAATTCCTAACAATTATTTATAATCAAATCTTAATTCGCTAAGTTTCAATTAATTGATCATACTTCAATACTTCGTAATATATGCCTCGTAGAAACATAAAGAATAAATCAGAAATTTTGATAAAAATCATAGACTTATAACCAATGCATCATCAAGCTATTCTATTCGTGATAAAGATATTTATAAAGAAAAAGGTGTATCCTGTTAAATAATTATATAATTTTGGTTCATTCTAACATTTTATCTAATTTAAATCTATAATATAAACTTGTAAACGAGAAAAGAATATCTGTAATGAGAAATAGTATTTGTGTTTGCAACGAATAAGAAAAGAAAGTTTGTAAAAGACGAAAAAAACGTGCAACTTCTCATCTGAAAGGATACTAAACATTTTTTTTAATCTTTAGGCCAATCGACTAATAGTGAAAAAGAAATGAATTAATCCGAACTGTCGGAAATGATTCAGTTAGATAAATACGTGTATAAGTTTTGGGAAGCTTTGATAGCCTCATCATAAGGGTTAATGTAAGGATGTAGAGTTTCAGAATAGAAGGAACCGGTTAAATCGTTAGTTGAAAAAGATGATATAGTTTGATTATTGTGAAAATATAACGAAGGTTGAGTATTTGGAAATTTTCAGTAATTACGGTAGTTTTATAAATGTTAATATTAGTAGTATAATTATAAGGAGAGAAAGAATTACTAGTGGAAAATGAATTAGGAAAAGGTGTGATGTTTTGGCTATCATTTGGCATTCGTTCATCATGAATGAAAGGAGGAGAAAGATTGATAATATGCTCCCTTTGGTCTGCTTTAGCGACAGACTTTGGGCCACGTTTATTACCCGGGGTAAAAATACAAAGCCAATTTCGTTTATTACAGATTTTACATTTATTCTCTCCAGAAAGTACATTGCATTTTTCGTGTCGTTCTCGACAATTTATACATGCTACAGTTGCATTCTTACGGTTTTTTTTTTGTGGCATTATTTAACGCCGTAAAAATTAAGATTTGAAAGCAAAGTGCAGTTTGAAAAAAAAACGGCGGAAATTTATTTTAAAATACATTCAACCCCCTCTATAATCACCTCTTCTATAGTCACAATTAATATGTAATTACAAATTTATTTTTACCAATTATTTATAACTATATAGAAAATACTGTACCTCTATATTGGTCACGCCTCTTTATAATCACAGTTTTTTGTATCTCAAAGGTGTGACTATAGAGGGGTTTGACTGTATGTTTAATGATTTGCTAGTAATCTTATAATATCTTACCAACTTACGAACGTTATTTGCCGCACTGTATTCTATAGGTACAACTAATATTACTTAAATGAATTTAGTTCGTGTCAAATTTAACAAATAACTATCAAATTAGCAGTTGGGGTTCATGTATGCACTCATTTCGCGTTATTAATCGGTGATATAAACTAGTATATCTTACTTGGCATATAGGTCAACCACTCAGATTCGTAATCCCTTAAACCGTAAGCCGATCCAGGCAAATTTGCCTACAAAATTTTATCCAATAATCACGCATATTTACCCCATCTTCCCCAGTATCGCCAACAAATTTTTGTCGATCACGTGATGATCGATAAAATTGCTTAAGTTCGTTTATGTTAGGGTAAGCGTTTAAATTAAAGTTGAATATTAAGGGGGATATAGTAAAATTACTCGAAGAATTTTTTTTGTTAATGCATAAAGGATTGGTTCTTAAGCGAATTTTTGAGATAAAGGCAATTTTTTCTAAAGAGACATTTGTTTTGAAATTTTTTTGATCGCGTGATATTACACCAACTTTATGGGAATTGCTACCGGCACAGCAAACACGTGACATAATTCCTAATTCTGCTACATTCTAACACTAACCTTAAATA